CGCAGCTCCTGGACGCTCCGCGGTGCTCCGGCTGTGCCCCCGCGGGGGAAGGAGCGTCCCGGGGCGGTGGGAAGGGCTGGGGGGCTCGGGGCGGCCTGGGCTGTGCATCCGTCGGGTCACGCAGAGCTCTGTCTTCCCCTGTCCTTCCCAGCCCTCCGTGAGGAAAACCCACTGCAGCGGTCGGAAGCACAAGGAGAATGTGAAGGATTACTACCAGAAATGGATGGAGGAGCAGGCTCAGAGCCTGATTGACAAAACAAGTAAGGCCAATCGTTCCCTGCCCATGGCTGCTCCCTCTTCCCCTTCCCCCTCCTTTCCTCCAGCTGTTCTTCCTCACCTCCCTGGGGAGGCTTTGGGAGTCACCAGGGAAAACTTTGCTCGGAGTCTGGCTTGGATCTTGAGCTCCTCAGAGCATGGATTGTCCTGAGATAGCCAAGGGCTCTGCCCTTATACTGGTGATGTCCTGCAGGGTCACGTAACACACTTTGGCAGTGGCACGTTTCTGTTAAAAGCGTGAATAAGAATTCCAAAAGACAGGAGAAAGGACATTAAAACATCTGGATTGTTGTGCATTTCGCACACTGGGGTTTCCTGCTCGATGGGATATGTTCCGCTGCTATAAAGGCCTGAAGAGTTTCCTTGGCCCCTTCCCGGGATTCTTTTCTTCTCCCTTGTCCGCTGAGGAATGTTCCTCTCTTTGTGGAAGCAACGTGAACCCCAGATTAGCTTTATGGCAGCTTTCCCTGGTTCATATGGTATTTCGGGCAGGGAAGGATCCCTAAGGATCACTGACCCAGCTCCGTGCAGGATAGACTAACCATGTGACTGAGGGCATCACCCAGACACTCCCTGAGCTCTGCCAGGCTGAGCTGTGCCCAGTTCCCTGGGGAGTGTTCCCAAGCCCAACCACCCTCTGGTCCTGACCCAGCCTGGACTTGCCCTGGCGCATCCTCATTCCGTTTCCGTACGTCCGTTTCCCTTGTGATGCTTCCAACTGCCCATCTGTCACCCTTCCCCGAGTCTCTCCCATTCCAGCCTGCTCCCTGCCCCGTTGCATTCCAGCACAGCATGTCTCCGGCGGATCCGCAGGTCCCGGCGCGGGTGGG